ATTTTGAAGGGTTTGAGGCAGACCCTGACCCTGCCGACCCTCTGCTTGTTGTGGAAGGTGTTGTGGCATTGGGCAAGTCCATGGGATTGAAGGTGAGTGATGGGGATGTGGAAGAGTTGGTGGAGGACCACAGGGAAGAGCTAACCACTGACGAACTGCAAGAACGTCAACTGGAACAGCATCAGACCACAGCTAAGGAACCTGCTTCAGAGGAGGAGGAAAAGAGAGTGAAGGAGGTGCCTTCTTCGGTGATTAAGGACATGTCTTCAAAGTGGAATGAGTTGCAAAGTTTTGTTGAAAAGTATCACCCCTGACCACGCTGAAACAAGCCATATCTGCAACATGTTCAGTGACAAAACCTTGTCCCACTTCAGGCAAATCATAAAGAAATGCCAGAAACAGACCTCTCTGGACAGATATTTTGTGCGACAGGGGTCCAGTGACTCTCAAGTTGTTCCCAGTGGCATTAAAAGAAGAAGGGAAGTAACCCCAGAAAAGGACTTGCTACATGAAGTCCTAATGGAAAGAGATTCTCCTTCCAAACAATACTGTACACCTTCCTCTTATCCCCTCCTCCCATCTTCCATCCACCCAGAAGTCTTCAGTTTTATATGCATGTACTTGATTTCTGATTGTTTTCAGTATGTAAATCTTTATTTAATTTGAAAAAAAATATTTTTATTTTTATATTTTTGGGTGTCTGGAACGGATTAATTTTATTTCCATTATTTATTAGGGGGAAAATAGTTTCGAGTTTCGTGAATTTCCACTTTCGGCAGGCTCTCTGGAACAGATTAATCACAAAACTCGGGGGTCCACTGTAGTCTCACTTCCAGGAACGGATTAAGGGCGATGAACGAGGGACCACTGTACTGCATTTTTAAAACTATTCCAACCCTCTTCAACTCCCCCACTACTAATACTTGCACCAGCCCACCTTTCTGCCAATAGTTACTTATATCTCACCCGAACTTCTTCCTCCCTTAATTTATACACTTTCACCTCCCTCTTATTTGTTGTTGCCACTTTCCTCTAGTCCCATCTACCTCTTACTTTAACTGTAGCTACAACTAAATAATGATCCGATATATCAGTTGCCCCTCTATAAACGTGACCATCCTGGAGCCTACCCATCAACTTTTTATCCACCAATACATAATCTACCAAACTACTTTCATTACGTGCTATATCATACCTTGTATATTTATTTATCCTCTTCTTCATAAAGTATGTATTACTTATTACCAAACCTCTTTCTACACATGGCTCAATTAAAGGCTCCCCATTTACATTTACCCCTGGCACCCCAAATTTATCTGCTACTCCCTTCACAACATTTTTACCCACTTAGCATTGAAATCCCCAACCACAAGTACTCTCACACTTGGTTCAAAATTCCCCACGCATTCACTCAACATTTCCCAAAATCGCTCTCTCTCCTCTACACTTCTCTCTTCTCCAGGTGCATATACGCTTACTATAATCCACTTTTCACATCCAACCTTTATTTTACTCCACACAATCCTTGAATTAATACATTTATAGGCCCTCTTTTCCTGCCACAGCTTATCCTTCAACATTATTGCTACTACTCCTTTAGCTCTAACTCTATTTGAAACCCCTGACCTAATCCCATTTACTCCTCTCCACTGAAACTCTCCCATCCCCTTCAGTTTTGTTTCACTTGAAGCCAGGACATCCAGCTTCTTCTCATTCATAACATCCACAATCATCTCTTTCTTATCAATTGCACAACATCCATGCACATTCAGACATCCCACTTTGACAATTTTCTTATTATTCTTTTTAGTAATTATTACAGGAAAAGGGGTTACTAGCCCATTATTCTTGGCATTTTAGTTGACTTTTACAACACACATGGCTTATGGAGGAAAGATTCTTATTCCACTTCCCCATGGATATAAAAGGAAAAGTAATAAGAACAAGAACTATTAAGATAAAATCAAAGAAAACTCAGATGAGTGTGTATAAATAAATGTGTACACGTATGTGTAGTGTGACCTAAGTGTAAGTAGAAGTAGCAAGACGTACCTATAATCTTGCATATTTATGAGACAGACAAAAGATGCCAGCAATCCTACCATCATGTAAAACAATTACAGGCTATCGTTTTACACTCACTTGGCAGGACCGTAGTACCCCCCTGGGTGGTTGCTGTCTACCAATCTACTATCTATGGTATCTGTGGAGACAAAAAACGTTATCCATGGAGGTAAAGAAGGGAATGTACGAAGGTATAGTGGTACCAACACTCTTATATGGGTGTGAAGATTGGGTTGCTAATGCAGCAGCAAGGAGGCACCTGGAGGCAGTGGAGATGTCTTGTCTAAGGGCAATGTGTGGTGCAAATGTTAAGCAGAAAATTCAGAGTGTGGAAATTAGGAGACAGTGTGGAGTTACTAAAAGTATTATAGTCAGAGGGCTGAAGAGGGGTTGTTGAGGTGGTTTGGTCATTTAGAGAGAATGGATCAAAGTAGAATGACTTGGGGAGCATATAAATCTGTAAGGGGAGGAAGGCAGGGTAGGGGTCTTACTCGAAAAGATTGGAGGGAGGGGGTAAATGTGGTTTTGTGGGCGAGGGGCTTGGACTTCCAGGAAGCATGAGTGAGCGTGTTAGATAGGAGTGAATGGAGACAAATGGTTTTTGGGACTTGACGAGCTGTTGGAGTGTGAGCAGGGTAATATTTAGTGAAGGGATTCAGGGAAACCGGTTAGCCGAACTCGAGTCCTGGAAATGGGAAGTACAATGCCTGCACTTTAAAGGAGGGGTTTGGGACACTGGCAGTTTGGAGAGACTTCTAAACTGTCGTACCTGAGTGCTTCTGCAAAGACAGTGATTATGTATGAGTGAGGTCAAAGTGTTAAATGATGAAAGTATTTTCTTTTTGGGTCACCCTGCCTTGGTGGGAGACGACCGACATGAAAAAAAAAAAGTTTTTCTTTCGAGGTCACCCTCCCTCAGTGGGAGACAGCCGGTGCATTGACATTTTTTTTTTTTTGCTCACTGAATTCTTAGTCTATGGAATGGGATAGAGCAGCAATAGAGAAAATAAAAAAAACTTGGATTTAGCAAGTTGGTGTTTGGAAGCAACAAATGGTCATGACTCCACCTCTGATTTCACTTATGTTGCAGAAGATTATCAACTCCCAACTCCTAATTCTGCTGCTTTTGTTTTATCAGGCATATACAGTAATTTCTGCTCCTATATATGTTTTCTTCTATACTTGAGAAAATTTGTATAACACAACATTATGCCCAATATATTCTCTAACCTATGTGGTGTTATATGAACAAACTGTTCAGTATTTCTGTGCTATTCAAAAAAAACCCTTAAGAAGACAGTAAACTGGACTGACATATTATAAAGTTGGCAAATCACATAATTATTATTAAAAGTACATCAAAAATGTTGTAAAAGGAAGACAAGAGTACATAAAACACGGATAATTTTGTAACTGATGTACTAAGTTAAAACTTTGAAGCTCACCTATAATACCAATGAATAAAGGTTACAGAAAGTTTAAAATGGAGACCAAAGTTATGAAAGCTAAATAAATGAAGATCATTAAAGTCTCCAAGTTACATAAAGTGAAAGACAAAGATCTTTATATGTGATTTATGTGCTGCAATGAAACAGTTCTGTATCTAAAGACATTGCCAATATTTACTTCCTTCTAACTTCATTACCCATTAAATCATTATTTAATGTTGCAGTTTTTTAGGAAAGTGAGAATAGAATAAAAGATGTGATCTTTAATCACCTACAGCATAAAATGTTTATGATTTTTAGCTGAGTAAATGACATGAGAACACTGAAGGGTAAGTGCAGCAAATGAAAAGTAGGAGCTAGTAGAGTTTTCTCCCGGGTGATGCAAGATAAAATCATTCAAACATTAGCTGGTTTTACTAGAATAACATGAAAACATTTATAGGTAGGGAGAGGAAGGGACTTTTTTTTTTTTTTTTTTTTTTTTACATCTTGAGTACAAGCATAAACAAATAGCCAAACTTATTAAAGCCACAAATATTAGACGTGGCACTACCACCCAGGCACAGAATATTTTTTCCTAAGATCTTAAAAAACACAAACTATATAAGCCTTTAAGCTGGTATCACTTAAGTCCATGTTATGCAAAAAATATAAAAAATTGCCATACGTGCACCAAATGGCGCGTGTCACAAAATTAGGAAGCCTGTTCCAATTTGGCATGCTGGAAATCTGAAATTATAGCTTAGGAGTTTTATAAATTAAGAAAATTTTGATAGGCAAACATAATCAGAGAGAAATCCTCAAATGCCATTAAAAACAGTTCTAAAGCACATTTATGCTTTAGCAGATATGACTTTCATGGTCCGGTACCAAACTGGAACACCATGGACTCTAACAAAAGAAATCTGGACTAGTGCCCAGTCTAAAAAAGTACCAAAATACAACCACACATATCTCAAACCTTTTCTGATGCACAAATGTAGTAAATTTCTGATTATTACAGTTTGGTCTGAGTTAAATATGTTTAAGTAACAAATATGAAGTATAAAAAGCATAACCGAGACAATCAGCAGACTATCTTTAAAGTATCTGCTTATTTCCAGTCTGTTGAAATAATTAGCAAAGGAAACCAACCCATTTCTATGCCAATTTCATACTCTGAAGTAATCACACACTTCTAAATCAAAAAACTTATCACTCCTAATTTTTAATTATGCTCTTGGGAATTCTTCTCCAACAGCAAAGTGAATTGATTTGAGCAGCTTGAAAACAAACTGCTAAATTAAATTAATACAGCTTTACTGTAAGAAATTGATAGTCATACACGCATCAACTGCTATACAGCAGTATATCAAAACAAGTTCAAAGGTCAACTTAAAATTCCGCCAATTACAGAGGCCAACTGTTTAATCAATTGCAGCCCAAAAAAAGTCCTGTAAGGAACAAGTCCTACAGGAGTGTCATGAGCACTTTGGGAAGAGCGCTTACCTCTGTTTGGGGTCAGCTGTAGCTGAGGAATCATCACCCTCAGTTTTATCTCCTTTTTGACCACCTGTTGTCCCAGTTGTTGCTGCTGCTGATTCCTCATCCTTCTCCTTCTTTTGGTCCTTCACAAGGCCCTTATTATCCTTGGCCATTCCCTTCTTGTCATTTACTGTTTTCCTTGACTGTTGCTCAGTCGTCACCTGACGACCAGCCTGACCTAAGAAACGGCCACCCCTGCCTCGACGGGGAGACAGATTGTCGCCAGCCCGACGAGGGCCAAACTGATGATCACGTTGAGGGAACTTGCGTGCTGGTTGATGCATTGAGGGGGCAAGTGTCTGACCTCGGTAGTTATCATAACCCCCACCCTGTTGAAGACACTTGCCACTCAGTCACCACAGAGAAATCAAGTGCCCTGGATGCTGGCCTTCAACACAGAAATTCTTTCCAAAGTACTTTTGTTACCATATATGACCCAATCAAATACTATGGGTTAATATGTAAGCCTGACAAGGGACAGAGTCAAGGCAGTAACAACAATAGAGGAAAAGGAGTTGCAAAATATCCTTTTAAATGACAGGTTTACAAGGAAAATACCACATATTAAGGAAATTCTTATTGGGATGTCGATGATTAATAATTTAATATTAACCCAAATGAAAACATATATTATTTTAACATTGAGAAGGGTGATGGTTCAAGAACTATCACATGTCCAATTCATATAGATGATAGATGTGAACTGCATAAATGAAATACCATCCAGGGACAGAAGCAACACCTACACAAAGTTGTGCTCAACAGCAAGGCTCATTTACATCGAGTAGTCAACAGCAGCACTCAGAAAATGAAGTTAAATTATAAACAATTATGTCCCCAAGAGAATAACAAATGGATAGAGACTTTCTGCCCAAACAGAGAGCTATATAACACTGCTGCTGCATTATGCAGCTATCAAATCCAGCTAGTACAGCTCTTGTTTTTAGAAGATTTTCTTTCTTGAATTCCTTAAGTTTCCAACATCTTCCTGATATTTATTAAATTTACATATGAATTTACTAAAGTTAACACTTATCAAAGTCAAGCACAAACATAAGTGTTTGTAAAACTTTCTTCAAATTACATTAGAATTGATAAAGACTTTTTAGTGTCATTGTTTGCTACTCAGCAACAACAACAACAGAAAAGGGAAACTTTTCAGTGACTTATTAACATTGTCTAGTAATCATTTCTTATTAGAATAAAATTGAAAATTATATGACAATAGATCAAGCTGCAATTTACAGCACTTTTATTTAAATGATTTTTAGAGGAAAAAGAAAGGAAAAAATCCATTGCCCCTGTCCCACAAATTTGTAGGGTTGTAGTCCCAAGACCAAGATGGGTAACTCCTTGCAGTGTCTTGGCATGACACAACCATCTGGTGTCTTACACACCAGGTAATAAACACCCATTGCAACCCTGCTTGACTTCAATCTAAAATTCAGATCTCAAGCTGGCAGTCCAAATTTGTTGAGGCACCCCTTCGAGTTTCAAATACTGTATTATACTGCTATATATCCCAATCATACCAGGATGGAAAAAAAAAAAAAAAGAAAATGTGGGCATCTACTCACCATATCCATGCGCATCATTTTATTGGCCGGTGGTCCATTATTCCAGCCACTCTGATTCTGGCCCACAGAAGACCGCTAATTTAATTAAAGAGGAAAAAACATTATTAAAATACCTAAAAAACTTAAACTTACTTATGAGCAGGATGCTAAGACAAAATATAACTCCATTTTACAGCATCTCTACTGCCAATCCAGTAAAATATAGGATGCATCAGAAACTCGTTCTACTGAAACGGCTTCAAATCATAAACAAAATTTCAGTGAAAGGAGCCTTCCAAATAAGTCACTTAGCAATTCTTCCATATGTGTAGAGCACTTACAACCATACCTTCTCAGTATATTAATGAAATACACTACCGACAAACTGATGAGTTTTATACACGTGCACAGCCTGAGTATATTTATTTTCAAGACATTTTAACAATCAATGGCTTTTCCAATTCAATACAGCTTATAAAATGTAGACAGTAGGAGATGAGGTGATGAATCCCCCAGCCTCGAATCAAGATACTGAACCTAGGGATAGTAGAAAATGGGGTGTTAAAGTACCTTAGTCTTGATGAGCCTGTTTCATCAAAACCAAGGCAGTAAACAGTAAACACCTTCATGAATGAGGGACTTGTTACTTCATCTTCTACTGTCTCCAGTTTATAATCTATGTATTGAACAAAAAAAAAGCCACTGGTTGGCGATACATATTTAATAAAAATACATGTGTTGCACATGTCTAAATACTGTATCCACATGTCTAAATACTGTATATAAGTATAAATACTGTATACACCCTGCATAAACACCTCTAAATCTATCACAAATAGCTGAACCTACACTTGCATTCCCTGACAATTATGATCAATCTTTCATCATTCCATCTTAGAACACTCCTCATGTAATTAATTCATTCACTCAAGACCCTTGGAGAACTTCTCCCATTCTTGCTTTACTTTTTTGAACTTGTTTTTTATATAAATTGAATAAATTGTTCCCACTATCTACCAGAATTGAAAGTGCAACATCTACAACAATATATAAATAATAATAACAACAACCACCCAGGGAGGTGCTACTGTCCTGCCAAGTGAGTGTAAAATGAAAGCCTGTACATGTTTTACATGATGGTAGGATTGCTGGTGACTTTTGTCTGTCTCATAAATATGCAAGATTACAGGTACGTCTTGCTGTTTCTACTTACACTTAGGTCACACCATACATACATGTACAAATATATATATATACACACACCCCTCTGGGTTTTCTTCTATTTTCTTTCTAGTTCTTGTTCTTGTTTATTTCCTCTTACCTCCATGGGGAAGTGGAACAGAATTCTTCCTCTGTAAGCCATGCATGTTAAGAACATAAGAAAAAAGGAACACTGCAACAGGCCTACTGACCCCATGTGGAGCAGGTCCATGTCCCCCCCCCCCCCAGATTAGCCCAATGACCCACCCAGTCTGGTCACCTCCACTCAAGGAAGGAGCATGGCACCAGACCCAGCAGCACAAGCTAGTCAGGTCCAACTCACACCCACTCATGTATTTATCTAACCTATTTTTAAAACTACACAATGTTTTAGCCTCAATAACTGTACTCAAGAGTTTGTTCCACTCATCCACAACTCTATTACCGAAACCGTGCTTTTCCCATATCCTTCCTGAACCGAATTTTTCCAACTTGAAACCAATGCTGCGAGTCCTGTCTTGTCTGGAAATTTTCAGCACATTATTTACATCCCCTTTATTTATTCCTGTTTTCCATTTATACACCTCGATCATATCCCCCCTAATTCTACGCCTTTTGAGAGAGCGCAGATTCAGGGCCCTCAGTCTATCCTCATAGGGAAGATTTCTGATACATGAGATCATCTTTGTCATCCTCCTCTGTACGTTTCCCAGAGCATTTATATCCAATTTTGTAAAAATGGTGACCAAAAACTGAGCAGCATAGTCTAAATGAGGCCTAACCAAGGATATATAGAGTTGAAGAACAACCTGAGGACTTCTATTATTTATACTTCTAGATATGAAGCCAAGAATTCTGTTAGCTTTATTGCAAACACTAATGCATTGTTGTCTTGGTTTTAGATTACTGCTAACCAGAACTCCTAAATCCCTTTCACAATCAGTAGTATTAAAATCTACATTATTTAGTTTATATATCGCACGTTATTTTCCTGTCCAACATTTAGAACTTTGCATTTGTCTATATTAAACTGCATCTGCCACTTCTCCGACCACTGCATCAGTCTATTCAAATCATCCTGGAGTGCTCTAGTGTCCTCATTAGAATGAATTGGACGGCCTATTTTGGTGTCATCAGCAAATTTGCTTATGTCGCTATTTATTCCCTCATCTATGTCATTTATGTAAAGTGTGAACAACAATGGGCCCAACACTTACCCCTGAGGCACACCGCTTGTGACGTTCCCCCATTCTGATTTCTCCCCATTTATGCAAACTCTCTGCTGCCTGTTTGTCAGCCATGCCTCTACCCCGGAAAAAATTTCTACTATTCTGTGTGCTTAAGTTTCCTCAATAGCCTCTGATGTGGAACTCTATCGAAAGCCTTACTGAAGTCCATATACACAATATCATATTCATTACCATGATCTACCTCCTTAAACACCTTAGTGAAAAATGTTAGTAAATTCGTAAGACAGGAACGCCCCTTTGTAAAACCATGTTGAGATTCATTAATCAATCTGTGCCTATCAAGATGGCTACGAATTGCTTTGGAAATTATTGACTCCGTATATTTTCCCACAATGGAGGTAAGGCTTACTTGTCTATAGTTCGAAGCCAAGGACCTGCCACCTGCCTTGTAAATAGATATTACATTCACCATTTTCCACTTATCAGGCACTATGCCAGTTTGTAGTGATATGTTAAAAAGATGAGCCAAAGGTATGCTAAGTTCCTCTTTACATTCCTTTAACACCCTTGCAAACAGTTCATCAGGGCCTGGGGATTTGTTAGGTTTTAGTTTCTTTATTTGTCTGAGGACCATGTCACTAGTTACCGCAATCGTGGATAGTTTATTATCGTCCTGTTCTACATAATCAATTATTTCAGGAATATCGCTAGTATTTTCCTGGGTGAAAACAGAGGAAGTAGGTAATGAGAATTTCACACACATCCTTATCACTGTCAGTAATCTGACCAGAGTTACTCTTAAGTGGGCCAATCTTGTCCCTAATCTTACTTCTGTATACATGAAAGAACCCTTTTGGGTTAGTCTTTGAATCCCTTGCGACCTTAGCCTCATAATCCCTTTTTGCTTTTCTTATTCCTTTCTTTATTTCTCTCTTTAATTGAATATACTTATTTCTTAACTGCCCATCCCCTCTTTTCATATGCCTATATATGCCTCTCATTTGACCAATGAGATGTTGTAATCTATTGTTCATCCATCTGGGATCATTTTTGTTAGATCTAATTTCCCTACTTGGAACAAAAGTTGTCTGGGCTGCTGGAACTATGCTCTGAAAAAGTCATATTGGCAACCAAGATAACCTACCTGATCCATAGTCAGGACATCCCAATTTAGCCCACCCAGGTAATTTTTCAGTCCCATGAAGTCAGCCAAGCAAAAATCTGGGAGAGAGATTTGATTGCAGTTTTATTATTATTTTTTATTATCACACTGGCCGATTCCCACCAAGGCAGGGTGGCTCGAAAGAGAAAAACTTTCACCATCATTCACTCCATCACTGTCTTGCCAGAAGGGTGCTTTACACTACAGTTTTTAAACTTCAACATTAACACCCCTCCTTCAGAGTGCAGGCACTGTACTTCCCATCTCCAGGACTCAAGTCCGGCATGCCGGTTTCCGTGAATCCCTTCATAAATGTTACTTTGTTCACACTCCAACAGCACGTCAAGTATTAAAAACCATTTGTCTCCATTCACTCCTATCAAACACGCTCACTCATGCCTGCTGGAAGTCCAAGCCCCTCGCACACAAAACCTCCTTTACCCACTCCCTCCAACCTTTCCTAGGCCAACCCCTACCCTGCCTTCCTTCCACTACAGACTGATACACTCTTGAAGTCATTCTGTTTCGCTCCATTCTTTCTACATGTCCGAACCACCTCAACAACCCTTCCTCAGCTCTCTGGACAACAGTTTTGGTAATCCTGCACCTCCTCCTAACTTCCAAACTACGAATTCTCTGCATTATATTCACACCACACATTGCCCTCAGACATGACATCTAAACTGCCTCCAGCCTTCTCCTCGCTGCAACATTCATCACCCATGCTTCACACCCATATAAGAGCGTTGGTAAAACTATACTCTCATACATTCCCCTCTTTGCCTCCAAGGACAAAGTTCTTTGTCTCCACAGACTCCAAAGTGCACTACTCACCCTTTTCCCCTCATCAATTCTATGATTCACCTCATCTTTCATAGACCCATCCACTGACACGTCCACTCCCAAATATCTGAATACATTCACCTCCTCCATACTCTCTCCCTCCAATCTGATATCCAATCTTTCATCACCTAATCTTTTTGTTATCCTCATAACCTTACTCTTTCCTGTATTCACTTTTAATTTTCTTCTTTTGCATACCCTACCAAATTCATCCACCAATCTCTGCAACTTCTCTTCAGAATCTCCCAAGAGCACAGTGTCATCAGCAAAGAGCAACTGTGACAACTCCCACTTTATGCGTGATTCTTTATCTGTTAACTCCACGCCTCTTGCCAAGACCCTCGCATTTACTTCTCTTACAACCCCATCTATAAATATATTAAACAACCATGGTGAAATCACACATCCTTGTCTAAGGCCTACTTTTACTGGGAAATAATTTCCCTCTTTCCTACATACTCTAACTTGAGCCTCACTATCCTCGTAAAAACTTTAAACTGCTTTCAGTAACCTACCTCCTACACCATACACCTGCCACATTGCCCCCCTATCCACCCTGTCATACGCCTTTTCCAAATCCATAAATGCCACAAAGACCTCTTTAGCCTTATCTAAATACTGTTCACTTACATGTTTCACTGTAAACACCTGGTCCACACACCCCTACCTTTCCTAAAGCCTCCTTGTTCATCTGCTATCCT